GACAAAAAGTGAGGTTTGATACACAGCTAATTATAAAGCTTTATTCCTCCCCCCCAAATGCTAAAAGTGTCTTGCTAGCTTAAACTGTGACTTTTAACATAAGAGTAGTTAGTACATGAGCAAATTGACAAGTGGGAAAAAAAAAAAATCATCCCTGTCTGGCCCCATCTGGTTCCTCTAATTAGATTAAAGAAAGCATTGCACCCAAGGAAAAACAAGCGACAGAAGGCGTGACTGGCGAGGTGTTAATCATTTGAAATGGCACTCTCGGGAACACTCGTAGCGGGCACACACCTCGAGGCTTGCGCTGACCTGTTACTTTCAGGAGCTTTGCTGAAACTATTGCCGAATATCCACCTCCGTGAGTTGTTGTTAGCTCAGCCCTCGTTTGCCAGCAACCGGAGATAAAATTAGCAAACGGAAGCAGAGTCAAGGTACTGTACCTCAAGCAGTTTTGGGTTTGGTTGTGATGCTCGCAAGTTAAGCCCTCGGCAACTGAGATGTCATTTCCGATCAACAATAAATCCAAAATATAGCCAGTGGTTCACACTGCGTGCGTTTTCATCTGTTGTGGATGAAGCATATGGCCCCTTTTCCACAGCCACGCGTGCGATTTGCCCATGGTCATAACATGCAGCGGTATTTGATATTGACGCTTTTTTGGCCAATGGATTTTTAAAAAAATTTTTTGAACAATTCTGCTTTGTGTGTGGAATCTGCTGAGGACAAAGTCTCCGGTGACCTGGGTTCAATGTTCACACTGCCACTCAAGGACAGGAGTTGCTGACTTGGCATCAAGAGGATCTCATTCTGGCTGCAACACGGCACACGCTGGAGAAAAGGCTTTTCAATGTTTTTTATAAATACATCAATAGCATGAAAGAATGAAATATATTCATATATTGCTACTCAAATGCTCCTCCACCTGCAAGTAATTGGCCTTGTGGTAAAATAGGCTGCCGCTGGCGGACTCTCATTTTTTGCGACAAAACCGCGTGTAATGTTTAGCCAATTTAATTTCATGCACAACTTTCTGAAAATGTGTCCTGATTTAACAACAATGTATGCAGGAACAGAAGCTGCAGTGTCCAAATCATTGTTTTGTATGCGACCCGGTGGTCAACTGGTTAGTGTGTCGGCCTCACAGTGTGCAGGTGCAGGGTTCGATTCCAGTTCCGGCCTTCCTGTGTGGAGTTTGTATGTTCTCCCCGAGTCTGCGTGGGTTTTCTCCGGGTACTCTGGTTTCCTCCCGCATTCCCAAAAATTGCATGGCAGTTTAATGGAACACTCGAAATCGATCCTAGGCTGGTTGTTTGTCTATGTGCCCTGTGATTGGCTGGCAACCCGTTCTGGGTGTCCCCCCGCCTACTGACCGAAGACAGCTGGGATAGGCTCAGCATCCCCCGTGACCCTTGTGAGGACAAGCTGATCAGAAAATGAATGGATGGATGCTCCCACCTTCCATTTTGGGTTTTGACAACAACAAAAAAAGTGGGAGAGAAATTACAGTATTCCTTGATTTGACAAAAAAAAAAAAAAATGCTCATGGAAAATCTCACAGGGTTACAGTTAATTTCCTTGCATTGGTATCAGGCATTTGGAAGCAGTGCTGTGAGCACCCTGGCGGTCCCGCAGAAAGTCTCGGGTCGTTATGAATGCAGTAGGAGGTGTACGAGGAGCCTTGTGTGCAACTGCCTTTTCAGCGAGTGTGACAAGTAGGAGGCCCAGGAGGCTTTTAAATTTTTTTTTTTTAGGGGGGTTCAAACGTAGTACACGGTGGTCTCGCCTGCCGCAAGATGAATAGACACATGCACAAAGCTTCCTATTAGCGGCAGCCAAAACACGCAGAAAGAACTTTTACATCTCATTAAGATGCACACAAACACTGGCCGGCACAAGCGGATGGGCGCCCGTTAGTTGGAGTACGCTGACGGCCGATAGAGAAGCTTTTGGCACAGGACGCGCTCCCGTCACTGGAGAAAAGCCTTTTTATTTCACTCACAGCGGTTCTCTAGGTGAATAATCCTGTCAACAGCGCGGCCGCTGCCAAAACGCTCTCAATCATCATCCAATTATGAAGCCTTTCCGCTGGACTTCCAGGATTTGGTTGGGGCTTCTGCTTGAACTGCAAAGCGGGGCGGCGTTCACGTCCGAGGCATAGCTGTACACTTGTTTTAGCAGACTGGAGAGCGCCAACGCTGGCACTTGGCATGGAGGGAGACTTCGCTTAGATAAACACTCCCATGGTGCAAAACAAAGATGCGAAGAACGCCATCATACATGATAAAAGCATTGGCTGTGTTCGGAATGCTTGTACCGGGAGGGCCGCCAGAACGCCAAGGCAAGGCAAGTTTCGTGTACCCCCACCCGAAGCCGCGGTCTGAGTCTCTTTCACCAGCTGCGTCAAGAAGCCATTTTGCAAGCGCGTCAGGAATTTGGAGATATGAACTTGAATGGTTTGGCGGCCAAACAACTTGGAATCGGACCTTGCGTTTCAAGGCTGATGTAAACTTGTCTCATAAATTTCAGTACGTTTCAGCCTAGAAAATAGTGGACACTTCAAAGTATGAGAAGTGACCTCAAAAGTATCCATCCAATTAAGTGCATATTAGATGCTTTTTTTGGGTGAGTAGGTTATTTTCATACTTTCAGGAGAAAAAAAAATACATCACGTGATCTTACCATTACTGGAAGAGAGTAAATAATTTGTGTTTATTTTTATATTAGCATGATCAGTATTATTATCATTATGAAACATTGTCAATGCAAGTGTAATCTGGTCAATTGATTCCAACTTGGGATGTACGAAGCCACTATAAATATTTACGTTCTGCTTATTTATGAAGACAAGAAAGATGTCTCGGAGGGTCGAATATTTGAATTTTCTCATATGAATTGGGCGCATCAGGAAAAAAAAAACGGTGATGAAGAGTGAGGAGAAGCAACAATATGGGGAGTGTGATTCTTTGAACGCGGCATCCACGTTCAGCATCTGACCACAGTCCAAATTGTATTCCGCCTGCGCCCGCCGAAGGCTATAAAGTGTCCTGCAGATATTGAATTGTGTCGTCTTGCCTCGCGTCCTCTTTTGCTGGGAAAGAGACTGGAGGACTGCAGCACCTCAAGCACATGCACAGACAAACACCAAGCACCGCCGCTCAACACTCGGCCTCACTAATAGCCCACCTCTCAACGCCTACACAGCCACTAATGCGTTTTTTTTTTTTTTTGCAACACATCCAGAGCATGCACACATTTCACATGCATTACTCTGAACTCTTGACAAGAACATTCTGGACTCCGCAGAGGATGTCTGATGGCTTAAAGTCGACGGGTCTTTACTCGCGTCTTCAATCTGCGCACGTACGCTAGTGCTGCATTTCAAAGACTGCTTGACCTCCATGAAATTTTCAGTGCTGCGGTGAGTTAGAAAGTACGGCGCAAAAATGCTATTTGCCGCTGTAACGACCATTGCTGCACTACTCGATGATAACCTCCTAAGTCCACTTCACGACCACTTTGATTTTCACAAATTCTCGGTGTGTAGATACAGCAATAAGGAAATCGTTTTAGTGCCAGGGTTTTACGGGGTTGATGCTTTTTTTAAATGTTGTACTTCCGGGTCAGCTTGGCTAATGTCCGCTTCACTCTCATGCACGACTGATTGAGAGACGACACGACTTCGGAATCATGGAGGAGAATCAAGATCAGATTTAATGTCTTTGTATTTCAAGCCGATGATCAAAGTAAAACTCAAAACTCGCCAACGGGTGAAAACACGCCATGTTTGTTGTTTTCAGTTACCCGGACGATGACCCGGAAATACATCAACGCCATTTAAAAAAAAAAAAGATTCCGAGATCTGGCAATCTTTGCATTCTCAAAAATGCTGCTACCACTTTACCAGCCTAACTTCTGGGCAGGTGGAGTCGGAGCCATGGCAACCGGGATTAAAAAAAAATACAATAAATCATAACACAGGCACCGAGCAAGCGCTACCAAGAGAAACATTGACAAACGCGTTCAAGTCAATGTTTATGCATTCAAGCCTTGACCGTTTCCTGTTGGCGGGCACACGGCGAACGCACAATATGACAAAAACTCCCCGTGGGCTGCACGCTGACAAGCAAAAACCTGCCGCTCCATCGAGGCGCCTCCAGGCCTCAGCGGCGTTACATAACGAAGCCTCGCTCCAGCGTAATCCGCGAAGATGTGCAGTGTTGGTGTTCATTTGCAGCGCGGTAGAAAATAACGGATGGGGTGGGGGGGGGAGGGGGTTTGCTATTGACAAGAGAGGAGGAGACAATGGGCACACAAAGTGACCCACATACTAGAGATGACTGCAGGCTTGCGGCTCACGTGTCAAAGAGGAATTAGGAGACTTGACTAGGAACGCTAAACAGAATGACAAATATGAGACGAAAAAAAAAAAGTATCAAAAGTACATTGCCCCCCCACCAAGTCACGCTTCACAACTTCACCTCTTCTTATTTTTGAAGCTATGCGCTGTTATTTGCTTCAAATTGCACCTGCAGTTTTGGTGCCGTTTATGAAATGCAGCAAGATGACGCTAAAAGCCTGCGTCAGTCGGAAAGTAGTACATTTATCGGTCCAAGAACGTATGGTGAAGAAGCTAAATTGCTATCCTTTACATTACAGCCGCAATAAGCAGAAAGTGTCAGTACCAACACCCGGCAATCAATTGCCGCATTTGACTTCCGCTATCACTCAGCCATTTTGCCAGTCGATGACAGTGAGGAAAATCAACAGAACCAGATTCGACAAGACGGCGGTCTCACTCGACTGCTTCCATGCCCTCAGCGGTGGACATGTGAAGCCTGCCCGACTTGTGACAGAGACACTTAATTCTGAAGAGACTTGTTTGAATGTGAGAGACTGCAGTGCGAAGATGCAGTCCGATATGGACCAGTGAGCCTTCACAATCTGAGAGACATGGCCCCTCCCCCACAAAAAAAAAAAAAAGTCTGAGTCAGGCTTGCCTTTCTGTAGACAATCATGTTTGGAGAGTCCTCATCTGGATCCGTGAGGCCCACGCCGACCCGCTCTTTGGAGCCCTCGGCCATCTTCACTCAGACCTGTCAGACAAAACAGACACGCCACTAGAACAGCAGCACAAAACTAACATTCTGTTTTGAAACACAAGATGGTTTATTTTGGAAGCGCGTGCAGTCAAAGCGCTGGAGGACGCCACTTTGTCATCCAGAGAGAGCGCGTTCGCCTCAAGTCAGTCGTCTGGCAAAATAAAGTTATTTAACAACCGACTGCATTGATTGGTTGGATCATACGACCTAGGCTAGTATTGATTTGAGTATTGATTTGAAAGAGGAGGTTTTAAGAAATCATTTAATTTTTAACATAAGTCAACCAAACTATTCCACCAGCATGCCGATGCAAATCTGCATTAATGATGATGATCATGTTGCAATGATGTGACAAAAATGTGGGCTGTTATTTCTTTGGATTCCTTCTTGGACGTAAGAGACAGTGAATAGAATTATTAAAAGTGTTAAAATTACACACCATTAAAAAAAAAAAAACACAACAAACAAAAAAAAACCTCCACATGTCAAACAAATGTGGATACAATTTTAAGTTGAACCATTAAAAACAAAAACAAAAAAAAAAACAATTTGTACTGTTGTGAAAATTCTTTCCCACACAACAAAATACGCTTGTAGCACTAATTGTCCTTTGTATTGCCCCAAAATTTCAAGACGTTAAAAACTCGGCAAATTGTTCTTGATCAAACAATGCAAACAAGTAGTTTGCATTGTTGCCATAAATCTCAATTCATACTTTGAAGCTGTGCCAACTTCCATGACAGTTTTAGCCCTCCCACCCCAAAAAAGAATAGAATGAATGTCTTTTACAGGGGAAAATGTAAAAATTGCAAATTTCACAAAAAAGGAGCAAAAGTAAAATCTAATTGTGAGCCACAATAAAAGTTGCAACGAGGAACAAAACATTTTTGTAACTTTTTTCTTTTTCTCAAGTGGCTTTTGGCTTTTCCGTATGAGAGGCTGCCACAGTGAGTCACTCACAGCCCACATACAGCTTCCAAAATGATCAAAAGTAAACAAAAATCAAACTTGAGATGTTGTCGAACGTGCTCGTGTGTTTTACGTTATCCAATAAGAAAAAAAAAAAATCAGCCAAGGCAAGTGCCGCTGAAATTTACATGTTTATTCATGAAATTAAGACCGCTGCAGATGAAGAACCAAAAAAAAAAAACCCCATCTCACGCTTGGCTAGAAACTATTAGCAGCACACAATGGGCACAACACTCACCAAGGGCGACGACGCCTTATGACAACAACGACCACGAATGGAGCCACAGCACAGGTGGAACTAAATCCAACCTGAATAAGAACAAACAGGTGGGCAGGACGCACGGATGGCAAGAGATGATTGGCTGACCCGAGTAGAACTGAGAGAACGAGAGCAGGTGGAGACGATAACATGACGACCAGACAAGGAAGACCCGGACTCAAGGAAACAACTCTGCAATCCATAACTAAGAAAAAAAAATGAATCAAAGACAAGCCTCATCCGCTCGCCTACCGATGGCTTTGCGAGCATCTGTTAAGAGATTTATTTACGACCTCGCCATCACTTTCTCCAGGCTGTCTCCTCGCGTGAATGCCCTCGTCCCCCGTCCCCCCCCCCACTTTCTCTCTGACGCTCCGCGTTGAATTAATTCTGCTCCACAAAGGATTTTCATAACCCGGCCTCACACATACTTTGCCACCGAGGGCTCCTGTGTGTATTAAATGGGTTAAGGCCTTTGTTAGTCCTTTAATCGGCCTGCGTGGACAGAGGTGAGGGGGGGGTTGGATTACATGTCCTGTACACGCTTCCTCGTGTTTGCCTCTTGCGGAAATATATAAGAAGGAGATATAATAAAGCTGCACCATTTCCATTGAGTTTCCATGAATGGAACAATTTTGATTTCAGCAAGTAGAGAGGCCACCTTTTGGCTTTGAAGAATTGCATTTTGATGTCATTTATCTGCTGGCTGGAGAAAAACTGGACCAGACAAAAAAAACAAAAAAAAAACCCCAAAAAAAAAAGTGGCACTGAAAATCTGTGTTTGAACATTTCCAGGACTGGTCTGCCAAACGCAATATTTCAAATCCAAACAACAAGCTCATGTTGTCCTTATCAATATGCGCTAGCCGATCAATCCACACGTCTACGGAGAGATTCTGTCGCGTTTGCTTCATTCAGTGCGCGAGAAGAGGTGAGCGTTGTCGTAGGCCAACTAGCGGCTGCTTCACAATGACAACAGGCCAAGGCCCTGAGCATCTGACAGTTCCTGGCCAAGAACAACTTCTGCTATGCTGAAACAAGCTATTTCCTCACCTGCCCCCCTGCCCTCTTCTTTACTCTGTTCATCTATCCGACCTGATTTGAAGATGCAAATGGCTGGGAAGGCTACAGAGGATCTCGGAAGCATCCTTCCATGAATTTCTCGGGGCAGCGAAGGCTGAGAAGGTGCGTTAGACGCTAGGGGGCGCTATTTCGCAGCCAAAAACTTGTAGTTTGTTGCTTTGATTTGAAAAATATCTTTTGCAAGCGAGGGGGGGGGGGCATCAGGAATTTCAGGAAACGCTGTTAATTTTACGGAATGGTCGCTGTATTTCCGGGATGATCCTGGCCATCATGGCCGCTAGCAGCCGTCCAGTCCGTCACCCATTACGTTTTAGCACGCGATGGCCGCATCTCGTCGGCAACTACGTTTCGGCGCATGACGGCCTGTCGCTGACAACTTTTTGTCTGTCAACTGTGATTCGACAATAGTTCACTGGAGCTGAAAGTTGTAATTCCATTGAACATCTTGAGAAGATTATTATGATTTTTTTCTTATAAATATAGCCATCCATCCATTTTCTATCAAGCTCGTCCTAATTGACCCCAATGTGCTTGAGCTGGAGCTTATCCAAGCTGATATTGGGCAAGAGGTGGGGCGTACCCTGGACTCATTGCCAGTCAATAACAGGACTCATACAGATGCATCAGCATTCACACACATTTTCATCTCTGGACCTAACTTTGTCGTCCCTCGAGTGATCCCTAAACTTGCACCCCGGACCTCAGGACACCTGCTAACCACTAGACCACAAAATTCAAGAGCTCACTTCAGTTCTGTTAAAAGCCAATTTTATTCCCTTCTTACTGTCATGCAACAATAGTTCCGGAGACAAGAAACAACTTCCCCACCCCATAAAACTGCCCCAGCATGCAAATGAATGGCCACGGAGGGTTGGCACAGGATGTCCATTCAAGTGAAACAACATAAATCCACACAGCAACCGTCGGAAAAAAAAAATTACACGTCGGGACCACTGACAGTCACTCACATGATGTGTGTACATGTACGACACCTGCCAGCTGCCACAAAGTGAAGCCTCCATTACCTTAGAAAGCAAAGAGCGGCCGGTCCTGTCCGCTGCGCTCCTTTCCGCCGGCTTGGCTCCCTCCTTAGCAACAAGCGGCGGACGGGTTCATGGTGTCATTGGCAAGAAGAAGGGATGAAGAAGAGGAAGACTGGGGGGAGAGAGAGAGAGAGAGAGAGAGAGAGAGAGAGAGAGAGAGAGAGAGAGAGAGAGGAGCAGGTTTTCTCGCTGCAGTGCGTTCCTCCTCCTCCTCTTTCTTCACTCTGGTGGTTTAGTTGAGGAGATCCTCGCGTCCTCCTCTCCACTCGTCTCCCTCTGTCAGCTTGAGGGCGAGAGAGAGAGAGAGAGAGAGAGAGAGAGAGAGAGAGAGAGAGAGAGAGAGAGTCAGATCAAGTTGGGAAGAGTGGAGGAATGAAGGAATTTAGAGAGAATGTAAAGAGAAGTGAGAGAGAGAGAGAGAGAGAGAGAGAGAGAGAGAGAGAGAGAGAGAGAGAGAGAGTGTGTGTGTGTGTGTGTGTGTGTGTGTGTCTGTGTGTGTGTGTGAACGTGCAGTATAAAATAAGAAACATTTCGTGAGCAGCGGAAGGCTAAGTTGTGAACGCTGTATTGTCGGCGTGCTGAGCGTGCTTCTTCTCCTAAGTAGGCTAGGAGTTATTTTTATACCTCATCTCTATAAATCACTGCATTATGTAATAATAATGGAGAAAAAAAACTTGTAGCTTGAGGATGCGCATTTGCATGTCACTTCCTTCGACATGGAGTCATTCAAGCTTAAATGGCAACAGATGCATTTCTATGATTATTTTTTTTCCCCCCCCACCACGATTACCTCTGCCTGTAATGCATTGACATTCTCATGCAAGGGATGCTGTGCAAATGCCTGCAATGGAGTTTATTCCCAATGGCCTATTCACTCTATTTTGTGGAGTTTTTCTTGGCTGTACTGCTTCCTGTGTCGATAGATTTTTTTTTTTTATCCAATCAGAATTCAGCTTTTAGTGTTGCTATGTCAACATATTCTATCCAGGGCCTTCAGTCAGTGGCGATAGCTGATTTTTAACGTCCCCGGTTTGAGCAATGGGAGCAGATTTCAAATTCGTCCTCACAAGGGCCAGAGTCAACACTGACGTCAACATCTTTTCGGATTCTGATTGGTTGGTCGGCGCAAAACTTGTTGCGGGCAACTTCGACGAGCAAAATACGCCTGTAATATGAATGAATGTAAATAAGTTAAGATAAGATAAGGAAAAATAAGACAACCTTTATTGTCTCGCAATGGAGAAATCTGTTGTATTCCATTTACATTGCGATTTTTTCATGCTTTTGTCATGTTATTAAATGACTATTGGTTCTGCTAGGACGTTTTTGTATACTGTAGTATTGATGAGGGATTAGATACCATCACATTTTTTTGTCTAAAACTTCTGCTTGGCTTAACATGTGTAACCGATGTAAACAATGTGAATTAATTTTGTATGTTTTAAAGTTGAGTTAAAAACACATATTTGTGTTTTATTTTGATAAATATTGTGTAAAAAAAAAAACGTCTGGAAAATTGTGGGAAAAATAGGAAATGTGAGAACATGAAAAATAGTTCCTGAATGAGTTGAATGTTCCAACTTTTGAATCGGTTGAGAAATGTGGAATGAGGAAAATGTCAACAAATGTGAGGTTACTGCCAAGGAGGATGGACACAATGTCAGATTATTATTATTTTTAAAGCATCATTCGCTGGTATTGGCAGCTTCATACTTCATACATACCTTTAAATATGGTCGTATCGGCCCGATACCGATACCTGGTATCGATGATACAAATAAACTTGATTTGACTTCGATGATTACAAAGTAGAAAGGGTTCTGTCAGTCGTCATCTGTACCTGTGGGTAAAAAACAAAAAATAAACGACTGACAGAACCCTTTCTACGATGGAACTTTCCTGTACGACTGAGAGCCTCCACAAGCATGATTACAAAGTGTTGACGTTGGGAGGTGGATTAAGTGGAGTAAGTCCAAAATGGTATAAAGACTCAATTCACATTGTTATCTTTCAGCAGCACTGTTACCTCAGTGGAGAGGTGAAAAAAAAAACCCAACAAACGAACCAGCAATTGATGCTTTGCGGCTAAACGTCTTCATATTTTATTCCATCTTACAAACGGGGGTTGTTGCGATTTGCCTTCAAGGCAAAGCAAACGAAAGGAAGAAACAAATTGAGTGCACCACCAGAAGCCTCGTTGATAGCAGACTGTTTTGGCGGGCTGTGTCGTCTCATGCAATTGAGCCAACCGCTAAACCGATGACATGCATTCAGCTTTGCGTTGTGATGAAGACGACCGGGCGTCAAACACGACCGCCTAAGAAAGTAAGGCAGTGAAGTCTGTTAATGTCATCCTCCACACACACACACCCACACACACACACACAAAAGCATAGCTTGAAAGTGGCTCTGGATTTTTGCCCAGACTAACTGTCAAGTCATGGGGTGGGAGATCTCCCTGGTTTAATCCAACTAAATGTCCAAACAAACAATACCCCCTTTGAAATACATAAAATGGCGCGTAAAATTTACTTGGGTGTGGAAATTTCACACTTGATGTCACAGAGATCCCTTTATTAGGATGCGCGCAGCATTTAAAAAGTCATTCTTACATCATATGTCCCCTTGAAAACATTATCAACGCCGAGGCCAATTTTATATCGCGTGCATGTCATGACTATTTCTCGCAGGGTGGTCTGCCATGACTTGCGTTTGTACCTCAAATTTATATACAATATGTGTGCATCTGTAAAATGTCTACATACGTGTTTGTGTGTGTGTGTGTGTGTGTGTGTGTGTGTGTGTGTCCCAGATTGACAACGTGACAGGCTGGAATATTTCAATCTGCTTTAAAAGGGCCAAGGCTGCTATAATCTGCATGACTGCTAAATTATTAAACATCCTGTTCACTGACACAGAGTGATGTTGCTACCCCCCCTCCCCCCACATACTCGCGTGTTGGCTCGCAAATGCTGCAAATAGAAACAATGAGAAGTGAAGTATAAGCGATATATCGCAAGCAGAAGGCGTCATTCTGCTGGTTGTATAATTTCACGCGGCAATGATTTTCACCCTCGATCATATTTGGTCACTTAAGTAGGTGCACAAACATTAATATGAGGCAACCAAAAAAAAAAAAAAAAAAAAAAAAAGATAATTTAGACCAAATATTAGATGAAGTCATGATATCACTGATTGGAAAATAGTCATTATTTGGGCAAAATACCATCAGCTTTCATGCAAGGAACCGAATTTGTTTCAAAGGAAAACCTCGGACTGTGCCTTATCACTTTGGTCCCAAAAAATTAAAAGTACGGTTACCAAAAAAACACACACAAAAAAGTTCCCGTACGAAGGACATTTTGCCACAAAGACCTTGTCCTTTGCGCATCTTGTTGAACAAAATAAGTCCTTCACTACTGAGTAAATGACTGAGCAGGATTCTTTTTCCATGAAATGTACACATTAACAGTCTCCTGTGATTCTTAAATCACATGAAAACTTATTTATTTATTTATTTTTTAAATTTTAAAGAGTAATGAGAAATCTCAAGTCAGTAAGATCGGCTCATGACTGCTTAACCCTTTCAAATCTGTTGGAAATGTTGTGCTGGAAAACAGGCAGGACAGCGGCCCTTGAGAACCGACTTGGGACGCCCCTGATGTAGCGGTACACTTGCCTGACTTGTGTGTGGGCAGCGCCACCCGGTGACGGTGTGTATGTGGTTGTGAATGGTTGTCTGTCTCTATATGTGCCCTGCGACTGACTTGACGACCAGTTCGGGGTGTACAGTAGTCCGCCTTTTGCCCAAAGTTAGCCAGGATAGATTCCAGCGCCTGCTGCCACCCTGTTCAGGATAAGCGGTGTTGAAAATGGATGGATGGATTATGAACGGAATATTCCTGAAAGTCCTTAGCTGTGACAAATATTGGACCCCTTTTCTTTCTTAGCCAGTGCAGGCAATGTGGAGACACTGGAAGTTAAAAACAAACAAACAAACAAAGAAATATTTCAACATATGATTTATACATATATTTTTCATTTTTTTCCCCCAAAGTACACTCATTTCTATGCATCTCATTGTATGGCCGACATGAGGGCACCCCCACCTGCGTATGGCTGCTTTTCTCATCTGTGACATCAACATATTCATAAATACTCTTTAAATATCTCATTGAGGAGGGGGGTTGGGGGAGGAGGTGAGAAAAATAAATCACATATTTACAACATGGGGCAATAAATGAGCCGTCAAAGCTATTTTCCTGACAACCGCAATCTGGCCGTTTTTTTTTTTTTGTACAAAAGATAAACTGTTTGCATCTGCAACTGTACACTTGCAGCTCGTTACAATCTTTTAGACAGCCGCCTGACTTTACAGTTTTCACAGTTTGTGCTATGCAAAGGCTGTCTGCTTACTCGCACTGCTACAATACTAGGATACTACCATTTGGCGCATACATATATAATACACACACAGAGAGAGAGAGAGAGAGAGAGAGAGAGAGAGAGAGAGAGAGAGAGAGAGAGAGAGAGAGAGTGCGGCTGTTGATTTAATTGGTTCTCTGACATGCAGGGACAAGTCAGCACCATTGGTCAATTCTTAAGGGAGGGAGCGCATGCGTGCTCAGTCATTTGTAACCACCGGATGATGTCCGATGACGTTGGCAACTGGAATGACGTAAACACCAAGACAAAGCGTTTGTCGGTTTTCAAGAACAGGAGTTGGTCCTCCTCGAGGGGCAAAATATGACGTGCGCACAGCTGAGTTTTAGCGGTCGTACTCCCCTTGCGGCTGCGCCGTCACAGTCAGTTCATGTCGATGGTGTTGAAGACCCACTCGGTGAACTTCTTGAGCTTGGCCGAAGCGCTGTACGACTCCTCCAGGAGGCGCTGATTGTCTTCGCGCAAGCCCTGGATCTGAATTTGCAAGGACGCCTTGGAATCCTTCTCCTGCAAGGAAGAGAACGCAGTGAACACTTTCCTCTGTTAGTCGCCGAAAACTTACCTGTCGGTCGGCATGTCGAATAGAAAAGTCTTGATTTGGCGCCACCTGGTGGCATCATGGGGCCAAGCAATTATGTTGAACTGAGAGGAGGCGCTTCATTTAGTCAGGCCATAGCCTGATAATCGACAAATGTTGCGCCCATCTT